CTCAAGACATCCCAAGGCAAACACCTTCTTATACCAAGTCCCAAAGCCAACGGTGGCAGTAAACAACGAAGGGCCGCCACTCAGTAGATGTCTCTTACGGTGCGGCCCGGCCTGCCTCTGTTTGGGAGAAACGGAAGACGTTCCACCCCCAGTATTTCCAGGGCTCCAAACATATCCTCAGAAGGTGGTTAGACGCCCAAAACCCACCCCAACCACCTTCTCAGGAGGCAGTTGGAGCACTACGGTACAGCAATTTGATGTAATTTGGTATATATATATATATATCCATGTATATCCGATGACCAGCACCCAGAGAGGATGATGGCCATGGCATGCCATGGCTATGATGACCAGGGCCCCGTGGATGATGGCTAGTAATTAAAGGCTTTTCTCAAGAATTGTGAGAAGCTTTTCGGTACCACTCACTAGTCTTGCCACTCCTCCACTCACAACCACCGGCACCAACAACGCATCCACCTGGGGTCTCAAAGTAGCTTGCCAACCCAAGGGCAACACAAAAACGTATGACATCGTATGACTGTTCCTTTTCTATGTGTTCTAATGTTTTTTATATATCTTTTCATTCCCAATTTTGCAGAATTAGTAGAATTTGCTGCAGCCGAGCAGCTGCCCCCATATCTTCGGTCACTAAAAAACAGGCATGGCACAAACCGCGCCTCACCAGAAAGAAGATCCAGGGATCCACGTCGGGCCGAGGTCGACCACGCGCGGGTCGACGACGCACCGTCGACCACCACGGTCTCACCGGGCGTCGCTCACGCGCTCGGGCGAGATGATGGGGTTCCAGGGGATCCAACAGAGATGCCTCGCGAGCGAGGCCGGTCCGTCGATCCGCCCCGTTCCGCAAGCTCTGGAGCAGCTCCGGAGGTGTCTGGGGAGAGTTGTCTGTTGATCAAAGAAGGACAATCAGCTTAATTCATGTGATGTTCCAAATCGCTTTTTGAAAGCTGCGTCTTGAAAGTCGCGGAATCCAGTCCGGAAGGTCGAACCGAGGTGAAGATGGAGGTTGGTTTCTTTCCCTTGGTCAACATCGGCGATCATCGGTTTTTCACCTCAGTCGAAACGCTTCGGGCGAACGAACAGGTCGAAGAAGGCGAACGAACAGGCGAACGATGGATTTCGCCGGTTCGCTGCCAGCAGCTGCCACAGCGCCGAGATTGAAAAACCGTGATGGCTTTGGTCGCTTGCTCGCTAGCAGTATCGATGCCAACAAGATGTGGTTTGTATTGTTGAAGTCTGTTTCTTGTTCCCTTCAGAGTTCTTGGATTCATCATGTCGGCTCTGTCCGACCTCTTGTAGGACTGCGCGCTGTAGGAAGGATCAGGCGCAGGAAACACCTGAGCTCAAGCCAATGCCTTCAACTCAATGCCCTCCAGCCGGAAAATCACGCGCACACACACACACATGTGAATGCGGGGTCAAGACCACACACTACAAACCATGGAAGGTCAACATCCCTTAAAAGAAAATCTTTTCATTTTCGGGGTCAACCAAGGTGTCCCTAGGTTTGACTCACAGCTATATCAACATGAGACCTATAACTGCACAATTGACACAACACACCGTTCCTCAACGAGTCAGCGTCCCCAAATGAGAATCCTGAGGCCAGGGATGCGTCTCCTCTTTCTGTCCGGACTATGCGTCTCCTGAGATCTTCACTTCTTTTGATTGAACCCATGAGTAAAGAACCAAATCGAAGACTAAAAGTTCACATCATGTCACATCCATCTTTTGCATTCCCTCCTTGTCCTACTCCTGCGCTCCACTTCTTCTACTCTGATCCTCTTCTCTGCTGTCCCTGGTCCCTCACGCAGGTTTAAGATAATCCTGCAGCCAAACTTGATTCCTCCCCCAACATCTTGCCCACCATGCTCATCATCATCCCACCCCACCTCAAACCTCTTGCATTCCACGCCACGAAGCGATTCCCCAGCGTCGTCCCGCTGGGCATGGCGGTCTTCGTCACCGCGCGATCCGTCGGTCACCGAGAACGCACGGGGACGCGGTCGCCCATGGCGAAGAACGCGGGGCCGCGCCGGTCAAAAGCGGTGACAGTCGGGTTCGGATGGAGGTAGCCTAGAAGGTTGAGAGGAGGGAGGGAAATTAAACAGGCATTCTTTTTGCTAGTAGCGTCGTCCTTGTTACAGTAGCGATGGCCTCCACCTAGTAGCTTCTTGCTACTGGCTTTGGAAGGTTTATTCTTTTGGAATCAATTGAACTGGATAGGCTGGTAAATCTATAGTGTCCAAGTGACCTTCCATTTTGCGTAATGATATCTAAGACGGGCGAGGGTTACATTGAATCAATCCTGAAACCAGTAGTTGCTCATCCAATTGTAGATATGATGCATCCAACTTGTGTGTTCTGTGTTGCTTCTGAAAAAAGAAAACTCAGTTGGTTCCTGGTGCCAAGCCAAATCATGTTGCTTCTCTAACGAGTGTAACTTTGGAGTGATTGAAGTTGTATACTCTCCGCTAACCAGGCTTTCACATGAAGTTGAAAAACACAATCAGTATCTATATAGTCTATAGTAATATAGTCTCAAAGTACCGTACATGAAAAGTTGCAAGTTGTTACAAGTGAGTATATACAAGTGAGTATATAAATATTATTGTTAATATATATTCTCATGTTTTTGATGGGGTCATGTCATACTCCTGTCTCAGGGTCGGTCACTATTGCAATCGGTTCCATAGCATGGTCTTTGCCTCGCTTCTCGGTTTGAACGTGTTTGAACCAGGATAATCGGCCAGTCGAGAGGCATCATATCTTAGCAAAGAACAAGAACAAAGAAACACTGACAAAACCGTTAACCCAAAACCGTGTCCCTTCTTCCAAAAGAAAGAACAACGCCAAAAAAGACGTGTTGCCAAAAGGGTCCATCCCAAGAAAAGGAGTTCGTACCAAGTATACTGTATAGAGCATCCCTTCAGAAGGAAAACAACTGAGAAGGTATTGCTGGTACCTCAGGATCCCATGTCCCTTGATTCTGTATAGGAAATCTGGATGGGGATCCTTTTGGGCAGCTTGATATCAAAGTCTGAGTCTGATCTGGTCTTCTCGTAAACAGCGCGTTCGGTTCGAACAAGCGTTCTTCCCAATCAGAAGGAGCTCTGCTCACCGAATTCATCAAGCCCTAGCCTCCTTTGGACATGGTGGGACTGGTATAAAGTACATGCAATACGCCCTGGTTCCGAGACCCATATGGAACCTGAAAACCACTGGAATCGTAGAGGAACACAGTCTTCCAAAGGTCTATGCCATCAGGTTCTATGTTAATCTAGTCTTGATAGGCAGCTGGATCGGACGGGCCGGCCGTCCCAAATCGCAGCCCCAAATCCCGTAATTTTGTGAAATCGACGTGCTTTAGAATCAGCATCTAATCACCAAGGTAGTCGCCTTTTTTACGGTTCAATCGCCTTGGGCGACAAATCATAGGACAACTGCAGGAAAGATGCTTAAATGTCCTCATCATATTTGCATGTTGCGTGACTGTGCACAACAGTATTGGGTTGGCTTTTGCCAATTTGAATGGATTGTTGCATGATGTCGGATGTGGTTACCGGTTATCTTTGTTTTTTTGGAGCCCATGGCTTTACATGGTTTGGTACACTTTCTCAGCATAACTGCTCCCTCCCTACTAAAGATACTAAAGTGATCGACACTTGTTTTGACCTTGACTCGCAAATTGCTTGTTGTTTCTCTTTGCAGGAGGGTGGCGATGGCGAGCTAGTCTGGACAGGTATGCTACAAACAATTATGCAGTTTCAGATCTTTCCCTTTGATGCTACAGCGGAACATTGGTATAGGTATAGGGGAATGTAAGTATTCAGTAGTATCCAGAATATACACACCAAGGACCTTGGACTTCCAAAAGCAAACAAGATCCTTGTTCCTTCCTCCGGTCAAATTCAAGCAAAAAGAAGCATGCGATCCCACACGTGGGATCACTATATCGACAGAAGCTTATTAAAAAAACATGTAACGATACATAGGCGTCTCAGGTGTGAAAGGATGCCTATCTGGCCTCCCAAAGTATCCTGGAAAATTAAACAAAACAGGTACTTGCATCCATTTTTTTTCAAAGGTACTTTGAGAGTCGAAGTAGGACAGTACTAGTGCCTATATTATATATATCATATATACATATATGTTGACTTTGGGTCACTTGTCTACTAGGCTCGACTTATATTAGATGTATACACTTTTCCAGGTCCGAAGGGTCAGGGTCTCGTTCTTCTTTTTGAGACCGTCCTTTCTTGGTCAACAGACTTGCCCTACCGAACGGTGGCAAATCTAGCCCTTACAGGTCCAGTCTGACACAGACAGATCCAAACCTGTTCCTGAAAATCTTCATTAAGGAGCGTTTAGCATAATCTCCAGTAAAATGAGGCCAAACTGACCTCTAGCACTGTAGGGTATTGTAGACTCTTGACTGTGACAAAACACACCCCCAATATGAAGAGTTTTTACATTCCACATGGGTGTGGGGTGGAGACCTGCAGTCTAGTAAGGCCACCGATGATGCTGAAGGCTGAAGGTCTTTGGCCCAGCCCCCTCCTACACACCCCAGTTATCCACTCACAAAGCTGTCCTGTGCCGTGTTCTACGTAGGCGCCTCACCCAAAGATGTCATGAGACCTACATATTGACCCCCGAAAACCAACCAGGTCCCACCAGTGATATGAGATAAATCTGCCAGATCCCACACAGGTCGATCGCTGGTATAAATCGCTGGAGATCCCTTACGTCCCGCAGAAATCACCCTCTCAGAGGGTGGTGAATCCTACCAGTCTCAGTCGGGGGTTCAGGTACTCACCATCCCCTTGGTCTGACTGGTGCTTAGACTTAGTATGGAAGGTTTCGCTTCCCAAATAGAGATTCCTTTGGATCCAGCCACCCTCAGCCACCCTACTTTCATCGTCGCAATTTCGTCAGTTGTTGGGCACCTTTGTACGTTCAATCCTGAGATCCCAGGCGTAGACGGCGCAAATGCCATCGGCATGTCCCAGGACCGGGATGCGGGAGGCGTCCTGATTGGGAGTGTGACAATCACCAGCGGTCGAGGCCGTCTGAGTGGGGCATAACTCCACATACCAGTATCAGGATGTATCAGGATATTCGGAACATGCTCATTCCAGGGGGCCAATTCGCGTCAATTCGACACTCATGGACAGCTGCAGCTGCTCCTGATCCCGGCACCAGCGCTCCAACACCCATCAACACCCGCACGTCTCCTCGCGCGGCGTCTCCTCGCCACCTCCGTGGTGGGAGACCCCGTCCTTGATGGAGCGAACGAGCTCGTTGGAGCCACGCGGGATCACCAAGTCGATGTACTTGTCCTGCGACGTCGGGGCCCCCTTCGCACGTCGCACGGCGCACGCGGCACACGGCCCAGGAGCGTCGGAGCGCGGAGCGGAGCGTCTGTCGGTGCTGGACAGCGGGTCCAAGGAGGATTGGAGGAGGTTAATACTTGCTGTTTGTTCATCTGTAGCCAAACACAAGCGGACCGTTGCGTTATACGGCGTATTGAGTTCTACATGGATCACCCAATATTGCAACCTGATCTTCCATCCCTACAGATCCAGTCTGACCCAGATCCCAACCTGGTCCTGAAAAACTCATCATTGAGTCATTGAGTGGTGTTTTTAGCATGATAAACTTCAGTAAAGTGAGGTGACTTCCTGCCACCACCCGATGAAACTCATTGGATGCTTGGCGCTAGGCGCATGCCTCGAGCATCTGTCAAGTCCGGCGAATTAATTTTGGGTACCTGGACCCGACGACTCGTTCGTACAATAAAGTGGTATGTTCACCCTATGGATCCAATCATACCCTCCTGAGGTGATTGACGAGCCAACATCTTTTGACACAAAGCTGTGTCAAAGCTCCATAGTTGGGGAAATGCATGCCCTAGGGCCTTAGGGCTCCAAATCCACCCAAGTCCCACTTTCTCAGAATTGGAGCCCTATTGTTGGAGTCCATCTGTGATTTCGTTGTAGTCGTCACGTCTCAATTGCGAAGGTACGGACCCAAACAAGTCGTCGGCTCCAGGTGTCCAACGGCGGCTTCAACTGGGTCGGTTGAAGCCTTTCGTCACCAGAGTTCCAAGAGCGTCACCGATCGGCAGAAAAGAGTATGACTACAAGGACCAAGTTTTACTTGGTCCTTGGACTGGTAAGGATATTTCAAGGCCGTGGGCCACTGCATCATTTGCAGCTCCTGTTCTGCCCAAAAATGCTGAAACTGAGCCCACAATGCGTTGATTTTGCCCGGAACTTCGTTCATGTTGAGGAAACCAAGACCAACAATCCTGTTCTCAACATTCACAGCCACCTTGGCCACCTGACTTGCTGAATGGCATCACTTCCCAATCCCAAACACGACCTGTCTGGGACTGGAATATATATATGCACAATCAGATCCTATCAGTTGGGGTGGTTGACCTGGGGTGGCATACTTCCAAACGGGTCGTCGTGTCTGGGAAGATGAGTGGAATACTGCAGGGCACAAAGCCCGAAGCCAGGCGCGAAGCCGGGCACAACCTGCTTCCCCCAAAAAAGAACACCGAGCGGGCGACGCCGAGCCGAGAAAGCTCTGAGTGTTTCAGGCGCCGGACCTGCTTCAAAAGCTCTGAGACTTCAGTGCGGGTGTCAACACCTGGAAGGAGACGACACACAGCAGGGAGTGAATGACACTTAGTAAACTATCCTGACTGCTAAGTAAACTAAGCAGGAAAGCATCGTCACTAATCTAACTTTCCTGACTTACTTAGATTAGAGAGTGGAAAGCATCGTCTAAGACTAAGGTGGTCCTTGAGCCCGTCAAAGCACACAGTGAGCTTCCAGAATTCACGGTTCAGAGACAGTAATTCGCGGTGACTTCCTTCAGATGGACTGGGCCGGACACGTGTTGCTTTTGCTACCAAATATGTTTTTGCCAACTATGTTCCTCTAGGTGCATCTGCACTTGGGGAAACACTTGGAGAGCCTGGAATGTTTCTCTGAGCCGGTCCAAGGACACGTGGTACGAAGATGTTTCACCCCGAAACCAACCATCCCGCCTTTGAAACCCAGTCCATGTGTGAACTCTCTGACTTCCGAGCCGATTCCCTGGAAAACCACAAAAAACAACATGAGCTTTGAAAACCTCTTCTTTGCCTTCTTTGTTTTGTGGCGGTCCACCAGTCCTTTGAAGTCCTTTTTCAAAAGGGCGATGATGATGTCTTCCTACTGCCTGGCATCCGATCCCCTCCAAGACCCTGAAAACCACTCCATCCGATCGCGAGGTGCCTTGGATACAGTCCGTGGGCCTTGGCTTTCTCACATGAGGCACACTGTACCTGGACCTTCCAAACATTTGCACTCCAGAAAATGGGTACCTGGACCTGACAGACCGTTCGTACAAAAGGGATACGACCCGAAGTATGAAACAGGTACGCCTGGGGCCCCACTGTCCAAGGTATGAGTTCCGGGTCGACTCCAGCTTAAAAGACATGATGTTTCAAAGCGAGCGAGCAAACGGTCAGCCCGTATAGAGAGCAGTCACTCAAGATGTGTCTGTAAAAGCACTTGTATCTAGGCAACACCATGGCCTTCGATTTACTGTTGGCATTGAGTAAGAGATAGCTGGAGCCTTTTCACACTGGTGTAAGGGGCCCGTCTTCGTACATTCCCTATATGGTGATTTAGGTTGTTCTACATCTCCATGTGCAGGGTCATATTAATCAACAGTCAACGTTACTGTCTGGAGACATCTGTGATGCTTCCAAAGTCATGTGTTTGAGTGCACAAACATGTGGCCTTCAAGCCTCACAACATCTACCACGCCCCCAACTGTGGTTGCTATAAGGGGTTGGTGGATCTGCAGGGACTCTGCACTTTTGCGATTCGTCCAAGAGTAGAAGCAATGCATTTCTGGGTTAAGGATTTGGAGCATCTAAAGTACCTAAGTAGGACCTACATCACTATGAACCCAAGCAAATTTGATGCCACAAACCATTGGATTTGCGCTGTACTTCAGTGCACCGCATTTTGAACACATTTGTGAACTATTTCAGGAATGAACACCAGCGAATGTCGGCATGCAAGCACAAAATGAAATATTCAAATAATATACGTATAGAACATCGATATGAGGAAACGTTCATACTCATAGGCAAAGGCACGAACATCCCTCGAATGGACATTCGACTGGGAATTAAGCGATGACACAAAGGACAGTGAACGTAATTGAACCAAAAAATGAGTCGAAGACTGCAACGAAGGTTTTCAACCTGAGGGCAACATGATTTCAATGCAGCAATGATCAAAAAGGAACAGTGTGACAAATGTGAAATGTGAGTCAAACAAGCCCAAACACTCCATGCCAAAGGTCACAAAGGGATACAAAGGGGTGGTGTTTAGTCCCAAAGTATCACAAACACCCCTAATAAATCTCCATTTAGGACCCCCGTTGAAACTCCTGGTGCATGGGAAAACGACAAACTACTGTGCCTACTACGTGAGGGTGCTTTTTGATGGCAAACCAATCATGAACATCTATGAGATGCAGCGGGCGCCGACAAACCATCGTGCGCCGATCATTTCGTCCGTCATTCATGTTGCCGGCTGCTTTCCCCAAAATAACGCGCAACAACGATTGCTGGCGCTTTCACTCCAGCTTGGTAAAAAAAATTGTTTAGGTGTCCAAATCTGTGACGATCAATTTCGACTGGTCCGTCCCCCCTGACCGACCCAAACCCAACCTCTCCCAACTCCCAACAACACGCGACCCAACAAAACGCTCCCGACACGCGACCCATACCTCCTTCCCGTCCCGGGCAACACGCAGGTAGGTCGTCCGGTCGAGGTGCAGCTGCACATCCTTCAGCGCGGCCGCCATCGCGGCCACCAGTGCCGCGTTGGAACGCTGGGCCTGGGTCCGGAGGGAGAGCGCGGCGGCCCGGGTCCCGGGGAGTGGGTTGTACAGTGCTGGTTTTGGATATCAAGTAAATCAGGAAAGAGCTTGGATCCTCACATACCAGTAGAACCACAGTCCCAAACTTCCTTGGTCACTCTCATGATTTATAGGATGTTGTTCAGGGGTAGTAGTATCCATTTTGGGACATAACAGTGAGTTTTTCTATAAACAATGAAACTGGTTCCGAATGTATTTCCAAGTGGGTTAATCTACGCGTTTTGCAAGAACGTATTTTTTCCTATATACACATCTATATATATAATATACATTTAGACTACAACGATTTTCCGAAGGGGCCAGCACCTGCTCATGTCCCCTGATGGTTCTTTGTTGACTAGTGAGAGCAATCCACGCTGGCTGACTCAATATCTGAAAACATTGTGACCTCTCTTTGGAACATCAAACGCTAAATGAGAGGGAAGTCAACCAAACTCTACACTCAAGAACCCCATCCAATAACCTCTCTGCCGGAGGTAGTTCTGTGTTCTGGACAGAACCCGAGCGGATCAGTTCCCCTCCCATCTGCACATGGCATCTCTGGTCCGATCAAGGAAACATGGAAACGAGCAGCAAAATGTGTGTGTGTGTGTTGCTGTCTGTTTCCAGAAAACACGATCCATCACTCCCCATGATACCACGGCTACGCAAAAAATGTTTACCCCAGCCCAACGAAGATGTTTCACCAACTTTCGGCCCACCTCTTTGCCGCCTTTCAGCAGCAAGGCGTTGCCTGACTTCAAGGCCTCCACGCTGCAAGACGGGGCTTCGAATTACATCGTGGACGGTTCTTTTCTCGGCGGTGGGTGGTATAGGGGATAGGACCAGGCCACCCGGACGGTCGTGGCATGCCCACCAATGTCTATGTATATAATATACGTTTAGAATGTGTGTATACAATTATACTATATTAAACATTATTAAACATGTATGTGTATATATATGTAGTATATATCCGCACTCACAAGGAAATTTGATGCCAACACCGCAAACATGATGTGCTCATGAGCATTGCCGTGGGGTGAAGGGCTGCTGGGTCCGCCTCAGCCTGATCTGTCCGAAGAAACACATACAGTAAATATGTGTTTGACTGTTCCAACACTTGAACAAAAGAGTAAGCTCTTCAACTGGGAGAGGCCTCAACTTCCTAGATTGTTGGATGAAGGTGAGTGGTCTGTGTTTTTCTCCACCTGTCAGGTGAGGGTTGTAAGATTTATGTCAGCTCGTGCCCTCCTCCTCCTCCTCCTCCTCGTCCTTCTCGTCCTCCGCCGAACCTCAACTGCGAGGGTCGCGGGGCAGTGTTCCCCGCCGGACCTCAGCTGCGCGGCGGTGTTCCCCACCGGACCTCAACCGTGAGCTTCGGCGGGCAGTGTTCCCAGCCGGACCTCAATCACAAACACGCAGCCACAAACACAAGCACACGAGCACAGTCACAAACACAGAATCACAGACACACAATCACAAACACACAAACGCACAACCACAAATCATCAAAACAAAAGCGAGGGTTGGATCAGGGAGGTTTAGACCAATAAGTTTTTTTTTGTTCATGGGCCCTGTGTGTGAAAAAATGCTTTAAAAAGATAGAATGTGCAAAAAAGTGCTTTAACCAGATTTTAAATGCAAAAATATGTAAAATATAAAGGCACATCCACGAATACTAATACAAAAACTTCTGTACAATAAGAGGAGTGAATCACACATGCATAAATCAGGTGGCTGAAATCTTCAAAAACACATGAACATGGATGGTCATAGGGGTCATACTTTTAGACTAACAGACACATATTACTGTTACAGTATCAGTCATGTGGTGTCATTCGCTGTCAGACTCTCAGCCGCTCACACTCGCTGTCCCTCCCACCCACCATCGCAAACCCTTTCATTTTTGTGTCATCTGCCATTCGAATCAAATCCAAAGCAGCAGCTCCATGGTTGCAAACAGTTGGTTGTAACCAAGTTCATTTGGGTTTCCAGGGTGTCGTCGCAAGTCATTCATGTGGACTGTCAACAATGACACTGCCCTCCCCAAAATCAGTAGTAGACTTCCTAAGAAAGTACACACACAGGTTCTGACAGCAATAATTGTGGTAAGACTTCCCAACCATCATTCACATGGACCAACACCAGACTGATACCAGCACCCTCCCTCAAAACACTAAGCAGTAGACTTAACACACAGACAGAGGTTCTGACATCGATGACAGCGATTGTTGCTTTAACTTCAATACTTCCCAACGATAATACATATTTAGACAAAGAAAACTATTATAACTATAACACATATTCCTCGACATGGCACACACAGACAAAATCTGACAGAGTAGCCCCTGACAGCGCATCTTTTTACAGCAGCGCTGTGCAATTGCCCATCGCCCTTTAGCTGACATCAACGCCACTCATCCTTGGCAGCACGTTTTCTTCTGCTTGATCCAATTCCTGCAATAATCTTCAGATCTGCCCACAAGCCGAACTTGCCTTCGATGAAACTTGGGGCCCTGCATGGGCCATGACTTCTCTTCAAGACGGACACGCATACACCAGGTTGGTGGATCCCTCATACCTGGCGCTTCAGCAAGTTTGAACTGGCCAGATAACTCATGGCATTTCTCACAGCGGACGTCAGTCCAAATGAGCACCGGGATTCTTGAGGCCACCCCCCAAAAAAGATCCTTGTCCAGTGGTCCAGATCACCAAGAGCTAGCAACCTCCACATCCATGACAGCAATCAAACTGCACATGTTACACAGTTACACAATCTATGCCACGCATGTCTGTGACAGTGCTTCAACTTCATAGATGATCTAACCCTCCCTGATCCATTCCTGTTTCTTTCATGACCTCAGCATGCATACTTGCCACGCATTATTTGGTTATCCAAAAGACATAAAATCACACATTTTCACACATAAACGCATATAAACACATGTTTCAACATATTTTCACACTTGTCAACATATTTTCACACATTTTCACTACCATAATTTTCTGAAAACTATCTGATCTAGACCTCCCTGAACTAGACCGCGACTTCGTGTTGGGGAACAAACACACAAACACAACCACAAACACAATGACAAACACAGCCACAACACACAACCACAAAACACATACGTACAGCACACAACCACAACAAACAACCACAATCACAGCACACAACTCGAGGACCCACAAAGTAAGTCGAGAACCACAAAACTCACGACCATGGCAACATGCTCCTCACCATGGCATGAAGACAAATGATTGAAATGTCATGGTGGGGAACACTCGAAGTGGAGTAATTTTTGGCTTTCTCCATCCAGAATGTCTACCTTTTCGGACACCTTGAATCTGTACGTCTTGGCCGCACCGACCACCTGAGCACTGCAGCCTGCTGGGAGAACAGTCTCGTGCCATGCAAAACACACCTCTGTCCAGTCTCAGCCTTGCAAAACGACCACAACTGGTGTCTTATCGTTTAAGTCCACACAGGCCAATCTTGTCCAAATTGGTTTACCCAATCGAGGGTTCGTGTGGTCATTTACCTTAAGTGCCTTAGTTGAGGAACTTATCCCCTCTTCAAGTCTCAACCCTGAAACCACTACCCCACTGAAAAATTCACAGTGTAGAGGAGAAACCGTCGGACTGAGGGTGCCATTCTCAATTCTCAGGGTCCATGTGAGGTTTCACCGAGGAACCTTCCCTTCAAAGTCAAGGCTTCCGTAAGGCTTCCAGGCGGCAGCGCCTGGTGTATCATCCCCGTATTGCTACCGAGAAAAGAGGTTAAGCACGATTCATGTTATTCAGACAAGGTCAACATAGGTCAGAGGTGTTCAAGACATCAAGTGAAAAGAATAACACATTAAAACGAGTGAGATATTTGGCGAGTTATCTACTTCAAAATGGGTATGGAAATCCTGACTTCAAGACTATAGATAAAATCGATTGATTGAGCTAACCTTTACCTTCCAACACCCAAATTATACAGAGGTCATTTTGTGTTTTTCCTATACACAATGAGTCATACAAAATGACAAAAGAGTGCTGAATCACTCCCATTTTAGCTTGTCGGTAGCAACTGGGATGTTTTATCCATTGGCACCGGCGCTGTTTCTGAAGAGGCCGCATCATTACTGCTCTTCGAAGCAACCAGCGTCTTTTGAATGGTGATTCTCTGAAGACGCAACTGGTTGCACTGCCTTGAAATCTATCAACATGGAGCGATTAACCCTTTGGTGGATTTCAGTGGGTGCACCAATTTGGCAATGGCCATCCCAAATGACTAGTAATTGAAGTACTTCGAACCATCCGAACAAAACGCCCAAACACCCGCGTGATCCCGCCAGTGATGCGATCTGCACAGCCGCATCGGGGCGCGCTTCGAAGATGATCAGGAGCACCTCATCGCGATCGAATAGTCCACGCGATCCAACCGAAAGGTGGATGAAAGATCCTTGCTACTAGTAGCTTCTTGTTACCACAGGTCCAGGTGAAACGATTCCCATGGAAGCTTCTAACTCCTAGTAGCTTCTTGCTCCTAGTAGCGATGGCATCCAACCTACTAGCGGCTAGCGATGGCCTCCACCGAATTGGCCAAGGGCATAGGGTGCTGTTTGTGACAAGGTCAGTTAGGATGGGTCTGCTACCCTATGCGGGTGCTGGCAGGTGCTGGCAGCGTGGATGTAACGGTGAAACGGTTGGAAATGCAGCTTGTCATTACGATCAAACTCGGCTGTGCCTGTCAGTTGCCCCCGTTCCACCAGGCGATGGCTGCGATCTGCCACGAAAGTTTGTTCAACACAGTCTAACCGGTCCTTAATGTCTATTCCGTCGGCATGCCGCTGGTTAATTGACCAGCGACTCGAAGACCAAATATATGATAATATATGTGCATGTCTCTGATCTGGACAGCCTTGAAGGTAACAACAAAGGAATCTTACAAAGTGCCTTCTATGGATTTGCACCAGGTACAAGCACGCTACCAACCACCAGAGCCGCTTTGGGAGCAGCTCAGATCCAGCGGACAGGTTTGGAAGAAAGCAGGGGTTTAAAGGTACCAACTCCGTGGCACCCGCTCACTCCACAAAAACCGAACCGAAACGGAGGTATAGTTGGAGGTAGGTAGACTCTTGCGTATCAAGCTCAAGCTGGGACTCAAGTGTCAATACATGGGACTGGAATGTTTGCCTATATGAGCCTGGATAGCTTTAAGATGTTTAAGGGTTAATGTAGTTAAGCTCTAGGATTCCAACTCAATTGAACAGGCTTTCGCCAAACAACCATCGTTTTACCAAGGATTTTACACTACAAAACCAGGTCAACCATGTCTTGAAAGGTCTTGGAAGGCTACGGTTAATATTGTATCCCCAAAGAGTAGGCGCTTCTGTGTTCAAATGTGTTGAAATCATACGAAGCACCCAAGTCTGACTTATCCTGACTTCTTACCTTATAACTGGAGACTCTGAGGTGCTCAACCATTCCAGCTTGGGCAAAACGGAACTGGTCGACGTTTCCACCCTTTCAGGCCTAACACTCAGCATCAAACCATCCCGACCCATCACCCGACCCAGTGGAGCTAAGCCACGCCGATGGGGCATGTGAGTCGGTAGAGGTCCAGGCCTCCGATGGTGATAGGATTCATCCAGCGCTCATCCGGATTTCAGATTTCTACTCTTGCCAAAACAGTAGATTCCCGGACCCGGACCCTAAGGGTAAGGTTTATAAGTTCGACTTTGATGGGCGCCCTAGTTCGAACGGGACGCTTGAGGATCGAGAGATCGATCTGAATCGGTGGATGATCTGAATCGCTTGAGTTCGCCAAACATATTTGACTCCAGGATTGCAGAATCCATGTCAGAACAACCATCAAAAAATGTACCGATAACAGTGCATCAAGCCCTGTACACATCGTAGATATAGGCCGAACGGCAACACCAAGCAACTGGGAGTTTACGATGTTGCTACCAGGACCCACAAGGGGTGGTTGATCAAACACCCCTCTGTCACCTCTTAGAAAGAGGTGATCTTTGTATAGACACCCCAATTCTCTTGGGCAGTCGCAGCCGTGTGGAGGCTGGCGTCCGGCCTCGCTGTTTTCGTGTCCCTCTCTCTCTCTCTCTCCCGGGGCCCCTGCCCTCGGAGACTTGATTGGCATAGGTGACCTGTCCAATTGGGTCCGGCCTCGGCTCGAGCGTCCGGATCGATGTGGTGAAGCAACATACCCCCATATACCCCTATGAAGTACCTCGTACCGATGAGAAAGATCCTAAAGTAAATTCTTGATCCAAGTACCTCGTACATTGCCACGGCATAAACGGGACCCTCACAAACTCGAGTCTAACTGAAAGTTTTTGAACAAACAACACCCTCCTATCTACCCTATCTACCCTAGGGATCCAAGTACCTTCTCAGAAGGTAATTGGAGACACTGTTATGTAGGTTTGGAGGATCCAAGTAGTATACCTTCTGAGAAGGAACTTGTACTTGGATCCATCTTGGATCCTAAGGCTATAGGAGGGTGGGCCCCTGCATTTATTGGCTTTGGATGGATGCCTGGAGTCGACTTCTTTTTAGTTCACGGCAACATGGGTATGGTACAGGTATGTACAGGTATACCTTTTTGGAGGTTCGAGACATGTCTTCCTTTTTTCCAGGGTATGAAGGAAGTCGGGTCCAGGTACAGCATGGTAATAAGACTTGGACTAAAGGAACCACTTGGCCGCCATCCCCCACCAGCTGTTGTCGTTGCTCCGAAAAGAGCTCTGGAGCCATGGGAGAGATCTTTGAACCCAACGAGTTTTCGTGAGTGTTGCGAAGTAAAACCCCAAGGTTCCAAAGGTTCCAGGGTTGTCCATCAATTAAAACCCGACACAAGATATTCAACTGATACGACACATGGTGCACCCTGCCCCTGAAACACAAAAAAACAACTCCCGAACCGTTCTCATGCTTCGACCGTAGTAGACGGCCGTCTGACCGTGTGACGGTCCGACCCCTTTCCGCCGCATCGTCGCTGCCGACGTCTTCGGCCGAAGAAGCAAGTTGATGATCTCGTCGATACCTTTGAGCAACGTGTCAAACTTGCTGCCACTGACCTGAAGTAGCAGTTGGTAGAGGTGAAAAACAATGGTTCTTCATGCAAACGCTTTGACCCATAGTTTTGCAGACAGAGACCAAGTGACCAAGAACTCATGTCAAATGATGATTGCCGAGGCACGGGAAAGTGATTCGGGGAACTCCCGTCGAAATACAAATACTGACACTTATACGAGAGTGCGGCAGAACACAAGCTACATAGAGGAGCCAAAGTGGAGAGACTACTATAGAAACTATCAGTTGATATAAGTTCACTGCTGGCAAAAGAACAACAACAACTCCTTAACAAAACATAAACAAATTGATAGATGGACATACATATGAATCAATATCATTCAATCTCCTGATTTGATGAGCACCACTGCGCAGCCCAGACTTGAAGCAGGTATTCAACAATGGAACAATCAGTCTGGTGTTCCTGCATGTGCATCCCAGAATTTCCACTCGTGAAACCACTCCTCCACCTACATGATATCGAGTCCCACGACTCTCAATTCGGAAGGGTCCTTCATGGGAAGTGTCAACGCGCCACCCACGCAACGAACAACCTGTTTGTGTTTTCTATTTTTTGCGGTTGTCCTGAGATTTCCTGCAAAATGGCTGTCACAAGATCATACAAAAAGACGTTTGCTTAGTACCAAGGCTTAAGCAAAGGCCACAAACACTTTTTCGGACTTTGTTTGGGACCAGTCTGACTCTACCTTAAGATGGACGTTGGTGAACCCACTGACATTCTGCAATTGGAAAGCTTCCAGAACCAATGCCCATGCAGCTGCGATTGTTGGCAGCCCCACGTCCAAACGCTTGAACAGCGAGTTGGAGAGCTTGCCAGCTTTTACAGCTGCCTGGCACGTGTCAAAACACCAGCTCCAGGGCCCAAAAATGCCCCCAATATGGATTCCTTGAACAATTTAAACAATATGTTGCGAGTGTTCTTTAAACCCACGTATAAACCAAAAACAACAAAAACGCGTTAAACACATGTGTGGAGCCTGTTCGTTTGGGGCAGTGCTTTAATATGGAGCAATTGTGGGTGACCAACTAGAACCAACGATCTGCATTCCATTGCTGTGTGCCACCGGTTTCGAAACATGGCGCCGGGTGCTGTGCTATCTCACAACTTCAAAACCCATGCTGCAATGCGGGCAACATCTGAATCTGCATGCAATTGAAACCAGCGCCCACACATGCCTATACAGCCCACACCATGCTGTCAACCTTTGAATCAGGCTGAACCGTTGTGAGCAGAAAATCACTCGATGGCAGCCTCGCTGGCTCGGCTGTCTCCCAAAGAATTCTTTGGGAAGGAGACCCCAAGGTCTCTGTTCGATCAACAACACAGTGGCAATGCAACAAAATGAGTGCAGAAAGAAAGTCAGAATCGTGTACACGCACATATATATATATATACCCCGTTGCGTCAAAAGGCGTCTGACAGATTCTGACGCTAATTACTCAAACCACAACAACCTGCAAAATTTTCTGCCCTGCGTAATCAAACAAATTTCCGAGTTATGACAAAGTTGAATGAATGGTTCCAGCTGATGGAAACTATAAGGAAACACCTTTGGACCAGTCACGGAGAAGTAGGAAAGTTAGGGTTTCCAGCAAAGGGAGAGGTTTGTAGAAACGAACAACGGTCGATCGCCCATCACCATGAATCTCATACATTCAATATATTAATATTCAATATTCAGATTCATATTAATTATTAAAATATTATATATATATGACGTACATTGAAATACCAGTCTACACGGATGGGTGGTTTGTTCACATGTTTGTGTAGGGTCTTTCTGTAGGTCATTCTTCCAACCCCATGGAGTGGAGAAATGCTAGAAGTCCCCCCTGACCGAAGGGAGCGGTTCAGCAGCAGGTGTCATGACCGGTCGGCTCAACGGAAATCGCCGTGTCACACCGAGAGTTACGCACTGGGAAGTGCAATTTGTTTGCAGGGAACTTAGGGCAACCAAACAGTCTTCCAATGTCCAATTCAGAAACTTATATCAGCCCCTTAGGGGGCTCTGGTATATTTTGCTAAAGAACCAATTGGACACTTTGGTCCAAAAAAATGCAGATGATACAGAGCGGAGTAGCCAGGTTCCTGCGATCGAGAACACCGGTTTTTGGAGACACCGGAGTAGCCCAATGAATGGATCCGATTAACACTTGGTGTGGCCGAACCAAAAAGGCCCAAACCTACGGACGAGCACTGCGGCGCTGATCTTTCCAGGCGTTCCCTACCGGTCGTGCCAGCTGTCCGCATCGGGCGCCTCAGCATCGGCCTTGTCCTGACTATTGGCCTCTTCGATCTGGACCTGAGCTGGGCCCAACAAACCGCGTGCAACTACCATCCATAAGATCGGATCCTCTCCCCCACACACACACTTATATTAGAAATGCGTACTGATGTGAATGCGGTGCCACACGCCGGCCTAAGAACCCAAATCCTGAAAGGTCCAGGACAATCCTAAAGGGCCTGGGGGTCTTCAAAAGGAAGTGGGGCCAAACGCGCAAGTCGAAGTCGAAACGACGGCCGCTCACATCTGCAGATGCATTGGCACTTTACAAAAGAAAAGGAAGAAAGGTGGCCACCAGCTGCGTCTTACAATGCGCCCAGGTGCACGTACGTTTTCACGGCAGCTTGGATGGGTCTTCGTTGGCCCATGCCATCCAAGTGTCCATGGGCCCCCTGCTCATTGTAAAAGAAAACAATTCAAAAGAATCCCTGTGACTACAAGGGGCACACACACACGCCTCCCCGAGGGGAGGCAAAAAATTAAGGCTAGGACGAAAGTGCAAATGGGCGCGCCGCAAGGACAAAAGGGTGAAGACATGAGAAGGAGGACGAGACAGAAACAAAAGTGTGTGTGGCTGCGATGAAAGAGAAACCAAGTGCACAGGGACAACCGATGAACCCCACCTCATTGTCGAGACCTGGGCGACCTAAAGCCTGAGTGTAGAAGTAGATGTGCGCATACAAACTAAGGCCCAGACCGTTGTGCGCGCAAGAGAAAGAAAGGAGTGAGATGAAAGGACATGAAGCAAGGGAAGACATGAAAAGAAAGAAGAAAAAGAGGTGTGTGAAGGGGAAAGGATGAAAAGGGGAACCAAATGGAGGGGACGGGAACCAATGAAGCCACACCTCATTAGAGAACCTATGCAAACCTGTGGTTGAACATGTACATGCTGTGTGTGCACCTGAGGTAGCGACGGGTCCCAACGGACCCTAGATTGCTTCGGCCGCTGCGGTCACGTAAAGGCATGAGCCAGCTTGGAATTCCAAAGATGAGACAAAAATCTGAGTTCTCTCGGCCTAGGCCACCTTCGCCCACTCTGGGCACGTACATCTCCGGGCATGGGAGATAACGACAAACCCCCATTCGGCGGGTCGACGGGAGGCACTCTACGGGCTCGGGTCCCGGACTCTCACTAGGAGAGACACACTTATAGAAATGCGTACTGATGTGAATGGGGTGCCACACGCCGGCCTAAGAACCCAAATCCTGAAAGGTCCAGGACAGTCCTAAAGGGCCTGGGGGTCTTCAAAGGGAAGTGGGGCCAAACGCGCAAGTCGAAGTCGAAACGACGGCCGCTCACATCTGCAGATGCATTAGCACTTTACAAAAGAAAAGGAAGAAAGGTGGCCCCCAGCTGCGTCTTACAATGCGCCCAGGTGCACCAAGCAGGTACGTTTTCACGACAGCTTGGATTGGTCTTCGTTGGCCCATGCCATCCAAGTGTCCATGGGCCCCTGCTCATTGTAAAAGAACACAATTCAAAAGAATCCCTGTGACTACAAGGGGCACACACACACACACCCTGTAACATGATGTCGAGGATTCAACAAATCCGCCAAACGATGATTTATGTGGTGGCTTGACTTGGTCAACACGGCCCCGGCTATACCAGGCTATATCAAAGAAATGAGGGGGGTGAATGTCGATTACCCCCTAAAGCAATGTCAGGAGGTCTAGTTCAGGCGTTGCTTTTGGAAAGGAAACAAGGGGAGATGTATGGGTATGGGGAGATTCATGGTTCCTTTTGCCGATTTGCTGAACAATAGAACATTGAAAGGAACCCCCCAAACAAATCAAAGGAAACAAGATGAACCAAGTGGTTCAGTGCAGCTGGGGCCAGTTCTTAAGGCCTTTACCGAAGGAGAGGCAGCTTACTCCCCTACTGCTTTCAATATCACAGGCAATGGCTTGCCATAGCTAAGTAGGCTGCAACCCTGAAGCGCCATGGCCTCAATCCAAAGCCTACCAAGCAATCGGTATGACCCGCCCGGAGTGTGCTCTTGGTTTCGTTTGGCTGGGCCTTCTGAACCTGCAGCGCACCATCCCGTCAAATTGAGGTTTTCTCACACCAAATGCAACCTCTCCATTTAATCGTGCCTCTTCAATCTTCAAACAGCATCACCTACATGTACACAAACTGCCATGACATGGACATCCACACATGCGGTTGACCACTTGAATATTCCTGCAAAAACTGTAGAATGACCTGGAAACTGGAAACCACTTCTTTAGTCGAAATGGACACGCCGTGACATCAAACGGAAAGTCATCCACTGACTGGGCAGGGTGCCACTGGAATGCCCATGCTAAATTCTGCTCAATTGCTAGGTTTTGGAGGCTGAGCTCCCTCAATTCACCAACTGTTGACTGAAATAAACGACTTGGGACTGCTAGAACATGCTAGAACTGAGAATGGGCTCCAATTGAGCGGTTCTGAAAACCTTGATGAAATCCCATGTCGTATCGCCTATGCTGACGCCTGTGCTTACGCTGCCTTACGAATGGCTCAATTGAATCCGATCCTTTCACTTGACAACCTCCCACAACCTCCCACCCGACGACTCACGCCCGAGCGGCGCGTTGCGCCAAGAGGTGCTTCTTAAAGGCCTCAGGTGGGTCGATCGCGCTGTGCGCTTCGATTTGCCACGAACATCCGAGGCCTTGGATGTGTGCCCTTTCAAAAGGTCAGACCGAAATTAACTGTTGGGTTATATCACTGAGAAGGTCTGAAAGGGACATATACTTATTTTTTCTTGGTGAAACCCTGACACTCCGAGCAAACCCGCAAAAGCTCTAGCCAACCCTCCTTTTCAATCTTTCTTGTTGTTTAGACCTCGACTCTACACCTTTTGTTCATTCTTAATTGTGTCCTGGCATTAGACACCTTCATATGTGTGTGTGTGTCGTTCCTTCTTGGAAACACCGACACTCCTGGACCATGGCACTCGGCACTCGGTGCTACGAGCTACGGCGAGCTGACCCGCCTCCAAAGCCCGATTCCGGGTGGCCTGCAGTGTTCGCTCGTCGTTTTCGCACAAAAACCCAAGGATCGGAGCTCCTGTTCCAAAAAAAGGGGGAGTTAGCGGTTTAAACATTGTTTTAGCAGCTAAGTGAAAGGGTCTACTTTGAGTGCTTTTGTTGCGGTTTTTGACAGTCCCTGAGGATGTATTATGATGTATATTGTCATGCATATATTGTCCTATACATCAACATACCACCCGAAATGGATGCTGAGTTACTTCTCATATGTCTCTTTTTGAACATTTTTCAGAGTACCCATCAGGTGGTTTAAACGGTTCTAAGTTGTGGCTGCACATCAAATTCGATCAAACACTCTTCTTCTTCTTCTTCGTCTTCTTCTTCTTCTTCTTGAAGAATAGATCGGTCTTGTGACCCCAGAAGCCCCATGGGAGTTGTTCTTTATAGCGAGGAAGCTGGAGGAATCCGGACTCCAGGAACCGACTCCAGGACGAAGAGGTCAAGAGACCTTTTATCCATCTTCAGAGCTACGAACAGGTCGACTTCGTTATGAATGACTTTCTGACGACTTGTGATTTGAAGCTCAGGCTCAGGAGAGCCTGGGTCGGGCTCTTCCACATGTCGCGATCTGAAAATCATGATTTATTCGAATACATCACCAATACCACATGTTCCCAGGTCCAGGAGTTCCTCAAAACCTGGTACCAAGTCTCTAGCCTCAGTATCCGTTGCTCTGGCCTCGGGTGCGCCGGACAAGATTTGGGCTGCAGCCCGAGCTCTACGAGCTGTCTCCTGTGCGGCCGAGGAGACTCGGGGTGCGTCTTCTACTTGTTATATAGACCCAGGTATACCTAGAAGGAACCCATCCTGAGAACTTGGAGGTGGGAGACCATCAAAGGAGGGAACAAGAGCTTGAAACTGTTCAAAAGACCACTCTTGGGAGTTGTACACCCTTTCAACGTTCGATGAAGAGCAGCAAGTTCTTTGAGAAGATGTCTTCAGCCCTTCAGCTCATGAAATCTGCCCATGAACATCCTGCAGTCCCAACAAGTTCGACGACCTTTTTCTGCCAAAGCATGCCAAAGCCAAACACCAGGCACCTAGGCAAATGACAGAACACTGCTTTTAGATCTTTTAGCAACCAGCTGCTGGGAGCACAGTCTGGGCGTTTTATGGCGTTTAGTTTCAAATGTCTGGGAAGGGTTTCAGACATTCTTCCAGCTTCGCATCCAAAACCTGCCAGGAAAAGGCGCTGCATATAGTTGCAACATGTTGTACCTGTTCTTTGCTTGGGCCAGGTCTGATGCTCTAGTACTTTGAAGACAAATGCTTCTATGGGGTCGTAAACAGTGCTTTTCATGCTTGTAGTGTTCCTGATGGGGTTCTGAATCTTGGAACATGCTCGGTTTGCCAAGATTCAATGAACACTCCAAACCTCTTGTCCAAACCTCTTGGTAAAAAGGGACCAATTCATCCAAACCTGCGAGATCCCAAAGCCAGTTCGCTGACGGCGCCATGCTTTCCATCACTCCTCCATGGCAAAGGCTTGGCGTCAAACAAAACTTTCTCCGAGCCGCGAGTTGCTGCGCGTGCCGTCCAACCTTGCAAAACACGCAACACGTGGCATTCGACCATCAAAACAGGAAAAACACACACAAGATACTGATTTCAGGAGTCATCTGGCGTCATCTGGCCTGAAATACCTATTCCGGCGCTGTCGGAACATGTGGGTTTGCCACGTCCATGGGTATGCCGCTGACGACATCTGTGAGATCTGGCAGTCTCAGCTTCTCTATCTGTAGGGCTCAGCTTCGGACTCCGTTCCATGCATGGGAGCTTAATTCACCGAGTTCAATACTGTATAACCCAGGCATACAAATCTCTCACTACCATAGGGACCCTCCAGGTCCGGATTGGATTGATTGAGTAAGGGGATACTGAATAAGAAACAATTCAATTGAGAATCAATCTTGGTTCGCTGAACTCAACCACGGAAAGAGAATCCAGGAAATCTGACAGAAACAAACACATCACTCATAGTTTTGTGACATTTAAACAAACACATGGCTCAACCATGTCCAAAAACATCTATCACCTAACTACTGGCTCCAACTCTACATCTTCGCTCCGCAGCTCTCTCAGCTTCTTCCGTTGAATACGGTAAAACCTGGGATGACCGTCTCCGGTGTGGAGGGATGACCACTCCAATGGACCGGACCGACTCTGGAGGTGGAGAACACGGTATCTTCGTGTTCGTCGAGCTGGGTCCACCGTTTTCCGCCGAAAAAGCTTCGTCTGCTTGCAAGTAATTTGCGGCGAGAGGTCGCAACAGTTCGGGAGACGAGAGGTCGCAAATCTTCATGCCGATCACAACTCCAAAGCTGCTCTCCAATCACAGGAGAGCCCAGAAAGGTTTGCAGTCTGGTAACCTAATACCATAGTGACGGCTCCAAAATCTCTTGATAATGTTCCTTTTGTACGCTCCAAAATCACATACTCCCAAACCCTTGATTTGCAACTCTGCAAAATATGAGTATACAGTATATATATATATATATATTATAACTTATAATAATATATATTATTACACAATTACATATTTTGGGGTGGTTTTGAGGGTCCACATACCTTCTGAGGATGCACGACTGGAGCCCTAAGGGGTGTGTTTGCTTTTTAGACAATCCTGTCAGGTGGGGGAACTTCCACACAACCGCTGATCTGGTTTCAACATTCCAGCTAGTGTAGGATATCCTAGGTCCTAGGCAAAAGAACAAAGCCGTAGATTCGGCAGCCCAATCGATCACGGATCCGATCTAAAGAGCAACCAGGTCAAGGACTTCGAAGCATTTTCAAGTTGTTCAAGCCGTTCATTGGATGAGAGGCCATTGTTGAGCTTTTTGTGCCTGGACCATCCCGGGTAGTCCAGCCGGGACACCCAAACAGGATGGTCCTGGTGTGTATGAGTCTGTGTTTCTTTCTAAGTGAACCTCACACACGCATCAGAATTTAGTGGTCGGTTGGTTTGCTGATGGATCAAGTGCCTTTCACCTTTGGACCCTTTCAGCACCAATTCTTGGATCCCCAGATATCCCTAGTTCGGGGAGCTGGAACTCATTTTAAAACCCATGTCCCTTCCGCATGGCTCATTCCCGCCAGGTTTTTGCTCATGAGTCATCATGAATCCAGGTCTTATCAATCCTTGAATCTGCTGAAACTTTAAAAACACAAACACCTATATAGAACCTAGAAACGCCTTGAAAGTTCACTATGCCTATATGTGTAGATATTGTATGTATATAGAAGGGATTCACTAAGGAGGTCACACAAAATGACAAAAAACTCCAGGAAATCATCATTTGTTGGTGCCCCTACAAAAGCAACAACATGCAAGAACGTGTGGTTTCGGAATGTTTGGGTTCCTCCTCTCCAGTCACTTGTGACACCAACCCCAGCCGCGACACTCTCAAGTACATTGTCATCCGCTGGTGAAGCTCAAGGAACACAAGCCACAAATGCCCAGTATATCTTCAACTATAACTGTCACTGTGTTGTTTCATCAATTCTGTCGACGCAACTGCTGGGGTTTCGAGGCAAACACCTTAGGAACAAGTTGTGAACTGCTGATATAGTTCCTGTAATGAGGATCAATGAGGCAATGACCTACAAAACAATCTCATGGTGTCAATGGTGTCCTTTGAAGTTGCTCTGCAACAAAACTGCGCTGTCATACAGGAACAACAAGTCTTGACCACCTGGAGTTTCAAAGTACCTCAGAAAATGGGTGCAATTGCCTCTGTTTTATTAGGGTCATGTCAAATGTTCTAGGGTACGAATTGGAGGCCACTGGAGGGTCCAGGCAGTTCTTAACCCTCCCTCCAACAGCAGTGACCTTAGTGACCGTTGATGCACCGACTAAGTGAAAAGCAGCACGATGGCTCGACCTCGGATGTCTTCGTGGATCAGAAGTGGATATCTATGCTGATCACGGCTCCTCAACCAACCAGTTGGCTGATCCACTGTGTCTATGCACAACTTTGGTTCTATACAAGTGAATTGAATTGTGTTTTTTCATGTCGGCCTGCTTCGCATGCACAATTGAAAAAAAAAGAACAATAAACACCAAAAACACACACATAAAAACATAGAATAAACATAAAACGATGAACAACGCACCGGTTCTTATGGGTGTATCTTTCTCATGACCGTCATCCCATTTCCCGAACCAAACCCAGGGCATGGTTGCCATGTCTTCAATACTGGCGTGGAGCCACCCTCTGTTTTGGAACGACATAGTTCCCCTGATCATGCTGTCTCATGAATGAATGGTTTGGTTGTGTTCATGAATGTTAATGTTGTTCTCGTCGTCGTGCTTCTTTTTCTTCTTGTTTTCTGTTCCTTGTTATGTTAATGTTCATGCGAATAGCCTCAACTGATCTAAACAGTCTAACGTCTAAAAAGGACCACATGTTTGCATTGCTTAAACCTCTTTTGAACGACAGCTCAATTGTCAGGATTCCCGCTGCGATGGGCCGACCCTTTTTGATCCTTTTTGGACATCCAAAAGTGGTTCAGAAGGAGGTGGAGCACTGCCTAAAAACCTCTTATGTAGACTCTTCAAAGCCACATGACTATGAATACATATATTCGAGGTAGGACCAATTCCCTATTTCCGCAGGTACTTCCACAGGTCTCGACTTCGGCGACCATGCAAGGCCACTTGAAGTGGCTGGCTTCAGTGGCTTGCTGGCTTCCTGGTTTCACCGAAGCACGGGGCGGGACGCACGGGTTGCACCCTGCGCTGACTGGCACTCGCCAAAAAGGAAAGCGCTGGCTGAGTCAGGTGGACGGCCAAGCTGCGTTTCTTCAGCACCAAAACCCAAATTTGGCATGTGAAATAGCGATGAAATGACTACAGTAATACTGTAGTAGCATGGAAATGGGAAGGTCCATGCCACCCATTTGACATGCCAACGTGGTACTTTTGTCGCCGCCCGTTTGGACCCCCTCTCATCGTCCAAAGGAGCGCTGCGAGAGCACGGGAGCATAACGCCTTGGGTCTGAACTGGAGGAACTACCGGAGTCGACCAGGTCGGGTATCGTACCCTGAGAACATGGGTACAGTCGTCGTGCCTTGTTTTTATAGGGTCATGTCCCATTTTTGAAGGTAGTTTGGTGGGTCCAGGTAGATTGATCCTGATGATTTTGTCAACTCACTCTTCCATAGATGGTCAGGAAATGTGGAATGGACCATGTGTTGCTGGACCCGACTTTGTTCCTCAGAAAATGGGACGTGACCCGAACCAAAATCAGGTTACGACTGTACCCATTTTCCGGAACGATCTGAGACTCCAGGTACCCACCAAGTCAACCACCCCGATGTAGGTAAATATGCCAGTCCCAGTGCCAGGTTGTGTCTGGGAGAGTGGATCTGCAGAATGACTGTGACACCAAAACCCAAACACTCGCAGATTTCCAATCTATAGTAATATTGACCCGTCGAAAACCTAGCCCAAAGCAACATGTATATAAATATTCCATCTACCAGCACACCCCACAGCTCACCAACATGTAAATATTCCATCTACCAGCACACCCCACAGCTCACCATGCACCTTTAAGTCTTCAAAAAGCCATACAAAGGAGACTTGTAGAGTCGGGTGCTGGTATTTGGAGCCTCTGGAAAATGACGACGACCAGATTCACAGATAAAGTGGGATGGATCATGTGAGCCATCTGTGTTTGCGAGCCATCGTTCGCGAGATGTTTCTCGGGTGTTTGCGAGGTGAAAAATGGGTCTCTCGGTCTCTTTCATGTGCAGCGGAACCAGGTTGCAAAAAGAATTCTCCGCAGAATTCTGCGAGGAAATGAGCACTTGGCATTTAGCAAAACCAGGATTGAAACCACCTCGGTCCTGGTCCATCTAGAAAACGGGATATGCATGACCGCATGACCCTATTAAAAATATAACATTTTCCAAGGTACTTGCAGACTGCAGGCAACTCTGCTCACAAAGAATTCCAGGCCGTTTTGAAGCAGCTCTGAGATTCACAGCCCAGGCCGAGCTTCTCTCGTACGAACCACTCGAACCGCGTTGATTCCGAACTTTGGATATGTGAAGGTTGGGTGTTTGGCACCTCTTTCATTAAACCATTTAGACAACATGACAGCGCTGCCATGCGCTCCACCGATGCTCGGCGCCCCAGACGTGGATCGCGCGGTCCGGGTCCGCGAGGTGTCTCGGCCTAGACGCCGAAGGGAGGGTGGGTAGCGGATGTTATGGCCGTGTACAGATCAGATTGGCTTCTGAAGATTCTGTGTGTCTTTACTGTAACTGTTTTTTTTCTACTTACTTGGACCCGACTTTCGATTGAACTGATTCTTGAACATGGGACGCTGTATGACGCGGTCTAATATAAAGTATAGGTATATAATTTTCCATATACGATATATATATATAATTATATATTTATGTATGTGTCCCCGTGTTCCGAATGAAGATCCAGAATCACGTCGTTGTATATATGCTAGACGAATGAC